TAAGAAGAAGGAAAAAAAAAAAAAAAGATAGACATAGCATGTCCTGGTTTCGATCCAGGGACCTCCGGGTTATGAGCCCGGCGCTCGTTCCCCTGAGCTAACATGCTGGAACGTTGAAAGTCGATGTCCTTTTTGAACAGATAAAGGTATTTGAAGGACCATATCACTACTATCAGATAACAAAGTAGTTTATGATCGTTTCTTTTACCTTGGAAGCTGCTTCTGTGGTGTACCGATATAACAGCCCCGAAAACTCATACATGGGACCTCTATACCTCGAGCACCGCCTGTAGGGATCGAACTTTCGTTATGACTGGGTGCCTTGCACCTTGCATCCTCATTATCAAGACGGCATCCTGCAGCGTCAACCTATATGCTCATTGCTATCCGTAGCGTCCAGCTTAACATTGTTGCATAATTCCATTTGAATATGGCTCAGGATCTCAATGTAACTACGTATCCTTGTGTCACCAACAAATATGGCACAGAAACGACTCTATATCTACCTATGCGTGCCGGCCTCGTGCTCTTTATATAGTCAAATACATACGAGCCGAACCCCTATCTACCCCAAGGCCAGCTAGCCAGGACATTTCGAGGGGCTATCAAAAGGACTATCCCAAGCAATTGACCTGGAGGCTGGGTCACGGGTGCTTCGTCATTGATGGGCCCCTGGTTTCCAATTTCGTACAGTGTAGGTATTAGATACGACGAAAACATATTCAGGATGATTATACCATCAGAAACATGTGGCATTCTGGAATGCAGAGATAGATCGTGCCTAGCTTCTAAAATTCTGGAATAATGCACGTGTACATAGACAACTAAGTAAGGAAACTGCTACCCCTTGCTGCTATGAGCATAGCCACAACTCTTTCCCCCAACAACTCCTTGGAGCCTCCTTTCTTCCTGACTAAAGATGACAAAGCGCATAGTATGTCATATGAGGCTAGGTAGCCTCGAAGATTTGGAGCAGGCATGTGATCGCCCTTTGAAGTTGCCAAGATGTGAGTCAGCACAGCCTGTCAGCGCCGATGACCCCAAATGACAAATATCGGATAATCAGTAATCAGCTACAATGAGATTTGCAAAACAAAAATGAATGAATTTAAAAAAAAACTTGTCTGAACACAGATCTGGAAACAGGAGCATCGTCCTCCGACAATGTCGGCGATGCCCGGAGGCCGGTATTCCGGAACGAAAATAGAAAGCTTCCAGAAGAATGAGAAGAACAACGTTTTACTGAATGCAGCACTAGTGGCATGCACAAGCCACTGAAATTTCTTCTCGAACATACCAGAAATACCGAATACGATTACCTGCAGATCATGGCTGCACCAAGTGTCGTATGGTAACAGGTTAAACCGGCAACTTGAACGGCGTAACGGCAGTACCAAAAAGTGGCTGTGCAGCCATAGCTGTGGCAGCCAATCATTTGCATTGAAAACTCTTTCACTGCTGCATTAGCTTGTTACTAAATATGATCCTGCATGACAATCTCGCTGGCCCTTGGCCGAGAAACCCGGATTAAAGTGCTGACATTGAGTTTTTCTTTTTTTCGGTCGGGATTCCATGCTGGTGAAAATTTTTCTCCGTGGCTTTTCTGAGTCTCCATGCAGGGGTCCTCTCTTGGTAATGAGTGATAGGACTAACTTCGGCACAATTGGAAAAAAAGGTTATGTACATTGTAAACAAGGGTGCCTTCGGTAGGCAAATCCATCCTTAGATCTGCTATCCCACTATATCTGAGTGGGCCATTGGATCTGGATACTTGGATCAGCTGAGGCTGGTTTGCCACTTCCCCGGACTCTGTAGGGGCCACGTTTTGGTATACCGCTAAGGAATCCGCCGAGATCTTCCCGGACTTATCCAATTAGGAAGGAAGATTAGCCGGATTTGGGCCAGACTGTTCGGTAAATACGGCACCCCGGACCCGAGTTGGCGTGTCCAGACCGAGAAAATCACTTGGCCCTGAGAACATGCCGATCGGGTTTATTTTGCGCTAGTGGATTTGAAAGGGAGAACCCTGGAGATCACATGGCACCCGTTAGACTATTGTTGCTGCCTTCTGTTTTTGCATCCAAAAAAGATCTAAGCTGGGTTCGGAGGCCCTTGATCTGCAATCTGATACTCTGGAATTTAGTGTCTTAGCCAGGTGCATATGCACGGTTGAAGGATGATAACGCTAAAAGAGAAAATTTCGAATGTAACCGGCAGTACTCCGTACATGGCGTTCCGTTCTTACCACGCTATTCATGGTGTTCCGCGTGCTACAAAGCCCGCGCTAACGATTTAGCTGAACTATAGGGATCCGAGCACAAGGAAAATATGAAAATACAAAAATCAACATTGATATTCCAAATTAATACTCCAATTTTTTCATTCCCAACACTTTTTGAGTCAAAGTGAAAAACATAACTATGATTCACATGTGATCGAGTCATCGAACAATGCAGACCAGAAAACTAAGGCAATCAGCCCATAGTAAAAGAGGCCATGTGACCATGATCTTAGAGCCTTGCGCATGGGATTCTTGTGCAGCGTAACAATGATAAACCAAATTTGGAATTTCCCGCCGAGCCTATGCCAGAGCTATATCCTATGGAGACAAGCGCTTACACCTGGGAATAAATGTAAGACATGGGAAGTATACTCCCGTGGACGATAGCCCTTCGCTTAAGAAAAACAAAAATAAAATAAAATAAAAAGCCCGTGGTGACTCAAGATATGGGATCAGCTGGTCATCAAATTTCTACACACAAACAAGATCCATGGACCCGTGTCCAACTTCAGCTTATCATGCCATGAGATGTATGGTCAGCTGACTATCGCGTCTGTCGAACTACGGCCGAGCGGAACCCGCCGATTGGCGCGTAGTGGGGAGACATCGCAAGACAATCCCAAGACAATCGGAAGACAGTTGAGAGACAATTACTTCACAGCCACGATACTAAGTATTCGAGTCATGGAATAGCTGGGTTCGAGTACGAGAAGAATGTGCTCTGCAGGCTTTTACCATCTTGTGCAGGAATGAATGTTGGGACGGCCGATCCGAACCATTGGGCACCAGCCACACGGCTCAACCTCGATGTGGCTAGTGTGTCTACAAAGAAAGTACTAGGTATGTCCAGACAAATAATTAATACACTCGGCCGAACAACTCTCCGGATTGCAATTCTACATTTCTGGGCATTCTGATGACTTCTAACTCACCGGAAATAGTACGGAGTACGGAGTAGATCAGGCCGAATTGTTATTTCCCAACAGACCAAAATTTAGTTATGCGAAACGGGTACAAAAATCAAACTAAGGTGTGGCTCAGCCCTAGGGATATCTCCTCGGCATCTCCACCCCCATTTTCCTAATTTTGGCCCTGGTCACCCGAGTGCAAATCGGAGCTAGTTCTAGACTATGCGACAGATTTTTTTCCTCCCTTTTTTACTTTCTTTTCTAAGCGATGTACTGTAAACCTTGAATGTTTTGCCCGGAATTCTCGTAAAGAAATTTCCAAAAAAGTAAAAATAATAATATTAATATTAATTATATAGACCCTAAACAATTCCCATTGACACCCAAAAAGCCCAATCACATAGAATATGGGTATGGTGGATCCCTTGTGGCTTTTGTCTATCCTGTAAGCCACAAACTTCACAAGGGAAAGAGCGAGTGAAAGAGATCCCCAGATCAGATCAGTGGGACTCGGTCAAAATGGCGTACGTGGTGATACGAATCCAGTCCCAATTTGGACTAGTGTTGGAATTGGGTACAACTAAAATAATAATAATAATAATAATAAAATAATAGTTACGCCAATTACGCTAAATTGGTCAATACGGTAAATTCTTGTTCGGCGAGACCGAGCTAGTGTTGTGAGGTCATCTAGAACAGAGCGCTCTTTATTAATTCACTTCTCCCGACCTCCAGGGCTCTTTCAACTTCATTACTCATACCCAAAATACTCTGACTCTTGAGATCATCATATCAAGTAAGATTTGCTTTTCCTCCGGTCGAGTCATTCTCCAGAACCAAACTCACACCAACCACAGTCAACTCCATTAAAGTTCCAGCCCTCTTAT